CTTGGTTATATAGGACTTCTGGCTATTTTATGTTTCATTTTTGCATTTTTAGCTCGAAAACTACCCGATAATTTCAATGAGGCCAAGTTTATCACTTTCAGCATGCTGATATTCTGTGCAGTGTGGATTACATTTATCCCAGCATATGTCAGCTCTCCTGGAAAGTTCAGTGTTGCTGTAGAAATATTTGCTATACTTGCTTCCAGTTTTGGACTGCTAATTTGCATCTTCATACCCAAATGTTATATAATCTTACTGAAACCAGAAAATAATACAAAAAAACATATTATGGGGAAGAAGGCACCATAGTCACTTTCAAAACTGAATGCGGTAAAATGGAATTTTAATGTTATTATTATTTTTACATAATTGGGTCATCATCCTTTCAGAATATAAATAAGCTGCCAGCAGGATATAGTCCATTGATACCAGCTTTGTAGAAACTGCTTCTTCTTTCTGATGCATTTTCATTACTTACTTTGTAATTTACTCAAACAAAAAAAAAAAAAAAACATACCAAGTGACTGATAGCTAAAGGTTATTGAGTCATTCACACATTCATCATGACGTGCTTTTATTTTGTTCTGTCAAACTCTGGAAATTTGTTATTTGAATGACATGCCACTGCAGATAAAATTATTAAGAGTATGTATTATTCTGTAACCTGTTCATTCTCCATATCAAGAGGCCTCCAACCACTGTTGAATTTTAGTGTGCAGCACAGTCTTGATTACAGTAGTTGCTTTGCTTTGTCCATGTATGCGTTTTATGCGTGATTCTCAAAGAGCAGCTACACATAGATACATGGCTAATGAAATCAGAAAAGTTTAACTTTTTTCTCCTAATTTAATGATAATATCAATAACAGTTAAGCTCTTCCTTGATATAAGATCAGAACAAAATACAGTCCCAAACGCATAGAAATAGCTGCGTTTTCAAAAATACCCATGTAGGTGTGGACACAGCGTAAAAGAGTTAGTAGTTTATTTTATTACTACCTGTAATTTATTGCAGATTACTTGTACAGTGGAACCCCGACTTACGAATACCCCATTTAACGAAAAATTCAAGTTACGAAGGCACTTAACGGCAATATTTCTGCCCGTGTTACGGCAAAATGCCCGCTTAACGAAATCCGCTGGCTCTGATTGGCTGAGCCCAGAATGCCTGCAGTTAGCAATTAGCCTATAGCCTATCGTTCACTCAAAAGGCGCAATGGGTGCTTCGACTTATGAAAATTTTCGACTTACGAAAGACCCTCAGGAACGAATTAATTTTGTAAGTCAGGGTTCCACTGTATAATATATGGTACTCTATACGATGAGATATTAGAGTAAATACAAAAACAGTAAATATACAAAAAGGTCTGCTGGTGTAAAATGTCTAAAATACCTCTAAACTGCTAATCATTTACTGTTGCCTTTCTGCTGGCAACAGAATCTGTCTCCCAAGTAGATTGGGAGACAAATTCTAGCTAATTAAGGTGGACATTAAACTCTAAAAAGCTGTCATACTGCCCCTAGTAGCAGCAATAGATTTAATTTTAAGAACAAAAACACAAGGATATGCAGTTCATTTTCAACTTCTGTCTAATAAGCAACGGGTGATTTTAATTATTTATTTATTGTTGGCTAACTGAACTGAAATGAAATCCACTTGTTAGCCATAATGCATAGTTTTGAAGAGTCAATTATAAATGAAAACTTTGTGGAGGAGAGCCTGTTTGCGTGGGTGCACCAGTGGTTCACCGGACCAACAGGCTAAAGTCAGATTAGATTTTTCCTCACTAGATCAGTATACAGACCAAGCTGGCAGAGCAGATGTCTGTAAGATGCGACCAACAATATTTTATGCGAATAAAATGCTGCTCATCAAAAAACAGGATAACTGGTCATTTTACAGAGTAAGCAGAAAGTATCAAGTAGTGTAACAAATGGCTTTATCATAGGAGTAAGTAACATACTGTGCTACTCAAAAGTAACACGTAATGTATAATACATTACTGTTTTTGAGTAATGACCGCAGCACTGATTGCAAACTGGTTGTAAATTGATTTGATGTGCTTGGGTACTCATCGCACATCTGCACTGCCAGCTGATTGTGCTGCTTGGCCTTTCCACGCGGCCTGACGAGGAAAAGTCAAACACAGAGGGGACAGTGTCAACTTCAGCTTGTGGGTCTGGTGAACCACCGATGCAACTGACTTAAACACACACTTATCCACCTAACTGTCATTTGCAAAGTGATCTACAATCCCAAGCATTATGGCCCACAGGTGGATTACCTTATTTCAGTGGGAATCTATTTAACAATTAAAAAACAACCAACCTAGTGACATTAGGTTCTGTACGGGCACAAGATGGCGCTACACCTGTTGTAAAAACTTAAAACACTTATTTCCTAAACTACACTTCAAATGTCAAATCCTCCCTGCTGTAAATTTCCCTTAGCATTTCATGTCATCTTTAATTTAGTATCAGACTGTTGACAGATCTTAATGTCACATCTATGCATCACAGATGTGAAAGTGGAAGTTAATGGATTACTGTAACTTGTTGTATAAAGCTCTAAGAAGAGTGTATAAGAGTAATGTATAAAAAAGTAAAGTTTCCAGTGCATCCAGTTCTTTCTTTATTAAGCAGGTGCTTTCTAAGAAAGTAATTTTATGACCTTTGTTACCACTTTGGAAAAGGATACTGCATGTTTAACATTTGAATACATTTTAATGCATATTTATTTCTAATAAATTGTTTTTTGCACTGTTACTTCTTATTTAAGCCCTGTGTGATGTGTATGTCCTTGTTTTACATACATAAACTTACATTTAAATGCAAATTTGGGCATGATTCTCCTTTTGCCGGACCTGTACATCTACTGGGAATATACTGCCACTCTTCGATTATGTCTTATGCTGCACTGAAAGGTATAAATACCAGCTTAAGTATTTCATCTTCATTATAGTACTTTTAATGCTACTAAGTGGTTTAGCTCAAGAAATGACACCAACACAGAAATGGCCGGAGCAGGGATGGGCATTTCTACAACTGTTGTTGGTGGCATCTGTCTCTCGTGCTGAGGAGCCAGTGTGCAGACAGAGAGGAGATCCTGAGAACCCACTGCTATCTAAGAATGGGGATATTATACTGGGGGGGATGTTCTCTTTTCACACAAGCTGGAAAGACAGAAAGGATACCTACATGAACCAACCTCTGCCACTACAATGTACCAGGTAAATGACACATTACAAATCAATTTGCATTTAAAGAATCTTTTGGGAATCATTACAAACAAAAAGTTAGTTTCATTTGTTTTAGTTATTTAAATTCCTTTCATTAAATGTTTTAATTTGAAATGTTTTTGTTTTGTATTTTGAGATTTATCCAGATTATTTGTGTCTGTTTTAAGGAACACAATGCAATGCAAATTAATCATAATTGTCTCAATTAAGTTTAAATTTCAGAGATTTGCAGTTTGCCCAGGCTATGCTTTTTGCCATTGAGGAGATTAATAACAGTACAGACCTACTGCCAGGAATCTCTCTGGGCTATAAAATCTATGATAATTGTGGATCTGTTGCCAGAAGTGCAGGAGTTACACTAGCTTTGGCTAATGGTAATGAAATTGTGTCTGTACCATCCAAGACCTCATGTACAAAACCTGCACATGTGCAGGCCATAATAGGAGAGACCTCTTCTTCTCCAACCATAGCAGTAGCTACTGTTATTGGACCTTTTTTTGTACCCGTGGTTGGTATTTTATATATAGAACCTATTTTATCATCTTTGAATACTTTTTAAAAAAAAATTTTTTTTTAGATCAATCATTTTGCCTGGTACATTTTATGTACTCAGTATAAGTATTGAGTAGAACTGTAATTTTAATATTTTTACTATATTTTTTCCATTAAATTTAAATGTTTTATTTTTAACACTTTCATCTTTTTTCATTCTTTGTCTTTTTCATTTATAAGTTTTTATTTTTAATTCCAGATCAGCCACTTTGCCACATGTGCTTGTCTCAGTGACAAAACCAAGTACCCATCCTTCCTCAGAACAATACCCAGTGACTACTACCAGAGCAGAGCCCTGGCCCATTTGGTCAAGTATTTTAGATGGACTTGGGTTGGAGCTATCAGATCCAATAATGATTATGGAAATAATGGCATGGCCACATTCACAGAAACTGCACAGCAGCTGGGCATCTGTCTGGAGTATTCTGTATCTTTTTTAGAACAGATCCATCTGCCAAAATACAAAGGATAATTGACATTATAAAGGCTTCAACCTCCAAGGTGATTGTTGCATTCCTTACCCGTGCAGATTTGAATGTGCTGCTACATGAGTTTTCATACCATAACTTGTCTGGGTATCAGTGGATAGGCAGTGAGTCTTGGATATTTGATTCACAAACTGCAGAAATGGACATACATCACATACTGGATGGTGCCATAGGTCTTTCCATTCCTAAAGCACATGTCACTGGCCTGAGAGAGTTCATACTGAATGAGAAGCCACTGAATTCATCAATAATGAACTGTTTACTGAGGTCTGGGAGACACTATTTAGTTGTAAGTTCAAGGAGTTGAAGTCATCAGCAGACATTCAGAGAGAGTGTACCGGACATGAAGATATGACTGGAGTTCAAAATAGCTTCATTGACATGTCTCTCATGCCTCTCTTTAACAATGTCTACAAAGGAGTGTATGCAGTGGCCCATGCACTTCACAATATCCTCAGCTGTAATAAAACATGTAACAAAACTGTGCAGCTAGATCCCTTCATGGTGAGCTTTTTAGTAGCTTAAAATACAGTTTTCACATTAAGTTATTAAGAAAAATGTTATCTAAAAAAATGAATTCTTATATATATATTTTAACCAGTCGGTATGTACAATCTTTGTCATGCAATGAATTGAGTTATGACATACTTCTTAGGTTCTGCAACACATACAGAAGATCCATTTCACAACAAAGGAAGGAGATGAGGTTCACTTTAACGAGAATGGAGATCCAGCAGCAAAGTATGACATTATAAACTGGCAGCCAAGAGAAAATGGTACTGTGGAGTTTGTCACAGTTGGCCTCTATGATGTATCATTAACTACAGAGAAACAGCTAAAACTGCAAAACAAGTCTTTAATTTGGGCAAGAAACTCAAAGCAGGTAAGCTATCGTACAATTCCTTTTTATGTTCTTGTTTCTTTGTTCAAAATATGTAATTAATTATGTTTCACAATATTTTGATGCTTCAAAATACATTGTTCTACAGAGAACATCATATGGACATTTTTCTTTGTCAAAGTCCATATACGGTTAAATACTGTTGATCATGCAGGTGCCTGTGTCAGTTTGCAGTGAGAAATGTCGCCCAGGAACACGCAAGGTTCTCCAGAAAGGAAGGCCTGTTTGCTGCTATGACTGTATAGCATGTGCAGAGGGAGAGATCAGCAACATTACAGGTGCAATGATATTTCATTTTAACTTTGGTGCGTTGCAACGCAAAGTTAACAACAACAACAGCAACAATCTTTATTTATAGAGCACATTTAAAAACCAACGGCATGCCAAAGTGCTTAACATAAAACAAATTAACACAAGTATAATCAAAATCATAAAAACAAAAAATAAAAGTGTAAAATTATGTTCACAGGAAAAAGCCACCAATAGAAAAAAGTATAACTATAGCACAATATAACTATGCCATCAAAACACAATGGCGGATTTTAATTTGATCATTTGTACATAATTAGTTAGTCACCATCCTGTCAGAATAGAAAGAAGCTGTCAGCAGGATACACTCCA